CATAGAATTTCCACAGTCACTTTAAACTTAACAACCTTATAACACACGCTATAAACTACAGCGATTCACACACTGTACTTACGGTGTCTCCTGTTCGCTTGACTCAATTATCTCTATCTTCAATCTTTGTATCTGCTCTCTATCTCCGCTTTATTTGCCGGGCTTATATACAATAAAAGAGAGCGCCTAGAAAAGACTAGAGATGCCAGGAAAAGTCAAGATCCTTCGAGAATCTCATGACGTATTACCAGCGTCACTTGACTTCCGCTGTCGTAACAGTACACATATTTTACACTAAAATACACTAGCTTGTGTTAAATGATCACCTTTTCAGACACTTTCTAATTTTCTTGTTTGTTTTCTACACTAAAAAAATGACTCTTTAAAACCTGGAGCGGCATTCCTCCCAGGTCTAAGTAACACACCTATCTACCTACAAGAAAAGCGTATATAGAAAATCCACTCGAGCGTAATTGTATTATAAAGGAGTGATGACACAACCTACTTGATATCTTCTTGGGGGGAGCGAGCTTTCGTAGTTTCTATTCTTCAGCCTTTTCTACAGATATCGAAGTAATTAATAAAATATAATACAAACACCTATGATCCGATAGGCCACGGTTTTTGTGCATCTAGCTTCTCTATAGTTGCGCGGAACGTCACATCATACACAGGTGAATGGAAAGTAAAATGGGAAATAATACTTTAACCTGTTGGTTTGCTTGTCATTTAGGTGACGCGTGCACGGAGATGTGTTCGGCAGTCGTAGTTCTGGGTGTGGTGTCTTTTACTGCTTATGGAGTGCAGGTAGCGACGTCATCTTTTACTCAACATATATTTTTGTTGTTGTTGTTGTTGTTTGTATCACTGGAACATTGTTTCTTCACTCCACTGCGTTGGTTGAACCATATCTTTGTTAGAATTATTCTAATTTCCGGTGAAGATTAAAATTCGATATATATAACCAAAAACTAAAGCACATTTTAAGCTCGATCTAAGTTCGAAGTTCTTATTTTTAACTAATAATATTTAACGTTTGGATTTAATTTCCTTGGAACTATTTTCCGTAGAAATAAATTACAAAATCTAAAAATTAAAATTGTTACTAATAAACCTAATTATTAAAGATTAAATGCGTTTTTGATGTAACACGTTGTAGGCATGATAATCACAGCAAAATCATATGAATCAAGTGAAATAAAATCATGTCTGCAAGTCATACCAAGATGTAATTCTAACCATTTCTCGTTTTATAATCTGTGTCTTTTGCTAAATAATATCTAGTTTTTAACCTATTACTACATCACTTGCTTTCCCTTCTGGTACACATGTGCCCCTCCAGCGTGCAACTTTCTTCTTTCCTCCCTACAGGTGGTGGTGGAATGGACTAGCCCGAATAAGCCAGTAAGAGATGGCAGGAACAGCCATTCTGTCGCATCCTGTAACTTGTGTGCTGATTTCCTCGAATCTCGGTAGACGGCGTTCGAGCGTGCAGGGCTTGCCACACGGCAAATACATTCAAGTAAGTTAAGCAGAGAAAAGTTTGAATCTACGTAACTAGATTAGGAAACTTAATTGAGTAAGATTTTTAGTTTGTTTTTGTTAGTTTTTGTTTTCGAAATGAAACCTAGGTTTAAAGCATTAGTCAATACGATCTCTCTGCATCACGTGATAACACTCCAATTTGCTTTTCACTAAGTTAAGTGATAACAACAGACTTACCTGTATATGGACATGAGCGTAGGACAGTTCCAATTCAAGAAAGTTCTCCTGAAATTGAGGCGGTTTTTTATGTGTTTTTGGACTCTGACATTGTGTTTCTAACATATATACTTCAATAATATTATAGCTACATTAGGAAGAGCTTACAAGTAATGTTTTATAAGTTTGTGGAGTTTTACTTAAGGCAACAATAACTTAGATTTGACTAAACGCAAAACAATTTTTGCTTTTGGGTATAAATTAAACTGGTCGATGCTGTGATAATTGATATAATGAATCATTTCTTCACAGTTAGTGCAATGAACTCGTGTTTTTTTTTTTTTTGGAATGTGTAACAATCACCCAGTAACATCTCCGCATATCTGCATTTGTTTTGCGTGTCATCCTCCGAGAGGAGCTCATCATATTGTCATTACATGCATTGTTAGCTTTGTCTCTAGCTTTTCTTCTTGCTTAATATATGTTTTTAGAAGCTGTCTGTCCTTTATGTCTCTTTACGTCTGGCCGTCCCCTACACAGATGTATCATATCTAATTTGCTGGAAGTGAGAGCAGTCAAGCGAGAAACCTGATAACCAACCACCTAAACCTGACACGGTTAGACACGAAGGGAGAAGAAGATGGAATATCCATTTTTCTCTTGAAACATCAACCCCTAACAAGGTCGCTGACGTCCATTGCATCGTCTTTCTTCTCAGAGTCGGTGTCAGGATATCCGATCGCCGTCTTGCGCTCCATGCAGTCAAATTTGTTGCCCCTGTAGCGTGTAGTCCTAGAAACAGGAGTTTGAAAGAGTATTCCAGCATCCGCATCAAACCACGTGATACACTGTCTGAGATATCTACTCGACATTTTGAGGCAGTTATTTTCTGTTTGCTGCTTGGCGTAAAAACCATACAGAATGGTACTGTTTATTCCTAATTGACAGAGTAAATAATCCACACATATACAAAGGAAATGACGACATAAAGCCTGCGTTTAGCTATATTCACGGAAAGAAGTTCCTAATGTGATTTGAGAAGGTATGTAACAAGTTATACTTACTGATAATTACCCTGGCAACCGTACCCTGATCTCCAACATGAAGATAACAGATATGCAGTTCAGTGTTTTATTCTCAGTATTAAAGTGTCACTCCTCGTGGAGATGTTATCTTTAAAGTAAGACAATACAAATATATATATATATATATAGTTGTAACTACTTATCAGTGAGTACGTGTATTTTTGAGTTGTGATGTTGTATTTTACTGCGCAGATAATGAAGTTAATAAGCTAAAGCCTTATGTTTGATTTTACCTGAAAGTCGTGTTTTTATTGATAAAGTAGACAGGATAGTGCCATGTTTATGCTAGTGATATCGTATTAATACCATCTCCTGCTGCTTGATGCTGGCCGGCCGCCATACCACTTGTTGCTCCCTGCACGCTCTGTTAGTGTTACCATGAGTGGGTAGTTTGGATGGGATGTAGCCCAGCGAGAAAGGGAGCACGTGCAGTGTGTGCGCGTAGTGGATATACCGAAATTTGCCAGGAGTAGTGTCTTCGGGTACCAGTGCCCAAGATTCGTTTTCATGCTGGCGAGCTGAAACTTTTTTAACATGTATCACTTGTACTCGCCACATCTAGACATTTACGATCACCGAGCCAGACACAACTTGGTTTTAAGAAAACGCATGCGCACTAGTCTCGCAAATGACAGACAAGGAGAGGTCTATTAGCTTGAAGCAGTGATAACTTTTATCTGTGTTCTGCCATGATCATAAACGTGACCATAAATGTGTGCACTTATATAAATGTGTTGGCATAGGGAACCCGGCAAAAATTACACAGAGTTAGTATATATGTAAATATAATTAAGATCGACAAAGGTAAATATTCATTGAAAATTTAAAGCCCACATATCAAAATATGAAGGCGCGAGCTCAAACTTAAATGTTTATTTCAATAGACGTTATTTCTCAGCATTAAAGTCATACTTCAGCCAACAACGAACCGATATTTTAATTCATTGACTAACGCAGATTTCTATCATGTTTTCACTTTATTGATATACAAAGTATATTTCAGGGAAATCGGATATGATAGCGTGTGTAAGAGATAGCTTAACCAGATCCTAAGAATATAGCTCAAATACCTGGATCCACAGCTGTTTCAACGTATTGTCAGGTATAAACCTGGTAGAAATTTGGGTTAATAAAAAAAGAAATCGGGTCGTTATTGGCTGAAGAACAATTGTTGTGAAAGTTCTATTGATTAATATTAAGCTCGTGCCACTTAATTTTGTTATTTATACATATATGTAATTTGATCTGATGATTGTTATTTATATAAAGCTAAAAATTGTGCTCCTTTTTCTGGTTTTAAACGTACCTCGTCTTCTTTCTTCTTTTATGATATTATACATTCTCTCCTTTGTTTATATACATATAGATTTATTTTTGTAATTTTCAAGTGATTCCTTCGGGTCAAATTGCTTATGGCTTACGTGATGATCTCTTTTTAGTTTTATCATCGAAATAAATAAATCGTATAGATCGACATATGGACACGTAGATTTCAAGAGAAATTACACGTATAGCGTATATAGCACTTAACAACTATATCCTTTGAAAATACAAACAATTATTAAAATTTCTGTTGTCAGCCATTAGACCAAACCCCCTTCCTGTCACTTCTTTCAACTTCTTTGTATATCTGTAAATACCTGTCACGTTGTAGTTGCGTTTATTGGTCATGTTACTCTTCTCCGTTTATTAATACATATAAATACACACACCAGGCCACAGGTGAATACAAACGATCAGTTTGACCTTTCCCCACTCTTAATAAGATCAGTCATCAAGGTTGTTGCTGAAAGCCGTTAATGGCGGTATCTCTAGAGTACTGAGTAATTAAGAATGTTCTGTATCGCTGGTCTTGTGGCCTCTATTGCTTGATTTTAGAAGTTCTATTACACACATATAACTAGTTGGAAATGTTCTTTTCTTAATTCGTTTGATTTATTAGACTTAGTTTTACGTATACGGGGATGCATTTGTACTACTACTAGGTGTTATTATTGTGTAAGAGTAGACGTGTACATTGGAAATATTTTAGAGAAGAACAAGGTTTAGCATGACACACACACGGCTAAAGATTCTTTGTTTCATGATTTCGCACAAAGCTGTCGAGGGACTGGAATAACTACACATATCCGTCTTTAATTTTGAACTGGTAGACCAGAGAGAAGGCAGCTATTGTCAACAGCACACACCTTCTCTTGTTTGATCGAATAGTAGAACTTAACTTACACTCTTATCAGCGCACCACGACCTCATAATGCAGAGCACGTTTTTGTCGCAATGGGTTTCGAACCATAAATCCTCGAATTCACAGTCCAGGCACGCAAATACTAAGGTATGTCCGGCCACATCGTCAGATAAACAAAGAACTTTATTCACACTTTGTATGAACGATAAATATGTTTTGAGCTTCAAGATTATTTTACTACCACAAACAGTTTTTTCGCTAATATCTCAAAATCTTGAAAGAGAAAAGATGGCAACTTAAAGAAAGAACTGTTCAATTTCAGTTCCTAGAGACCAACATAAATGTAAGTGCTTAATATTCAAATTAAACATTGCAAGTAAGTTTAGGGCATACAACGTTTCACTTGTCTCTGATAGAGGTGGCTGAATGTCCATATTGCTATTGAATTTCTTTGGACACCGAAATTTGAGTAAATCTTGCTATCGTTAGACACTGAATCAGACCTGAATCTTTTGTAGTATGGCATATCTTGGTTCTGGAAAAGTTATTATTTATTTTAGTCTTGAAGTACTAGAATTCCCTCGGGATGAATATGCTGAAATACAAATACCAGAGCGGTGGAATGTGACCATAATTTAACGAGGATACACAAGGGTTATCTTATCTGTGAATAGCCGCCTCCAATTTTTGAACTCGTAGACTTGGGGAAGGGCAACTATATATATATATATATACATTTCTTTCAATTACCTACAACCACGTTTGGAGACAATCCTCTGTGTGCAGTTTGGAGATCCAGGTAGTGTTCTAATCTGTTTAATGTATTTAAATCTCGAGGATATCTCAAACCATCACATCTAACGTTTGGTTTCATAATGCCCGCCATACCTCTTTTGTCCTGAAAATTTCAC